AAAGTGACCTGAAATGTGTTCTGACTGAACTGACTGTCTGAACATCCTGCTCCAAAAAAAAGAAAAGTACCCGCCCCGACAAGAAGGTTGCCGCCGTATCTCACGGTTACATCTCTAAAGCTCCTCCACAGCGCGCTCCAGTTTCCTCACCACGCCGACCTCTGCGTGATAGTAGAGGTGGAGGTGAACGCCACTCAGCAAAGTTGTTCAAAGCTGCTCTTCAGTACAACAAGAGTTATTTTTATTTTTCCAGAAATCAGTGAAATATTTCCAACATAATGAGACGCTATACGTCCCCAGATGATGAGGCAATGTCATGTTTACTACACCTCTACTCCTTGTCACATCTCCACCTCTGCTGCCTCTGTTAGCCACGCTAAGCTAACATCAAACTAGCAGTTCACAGGGCTCAGTGTCAGTGCTTTCAATTTCATCTGGTAAAAAAGAGAGATGGCGTGGAGTTGTAAGTTCAAATGCTTTATCTGAATTAGCGAAGGGGACAGAGGGTGATAAAGTTGGTCTTTATATCAGTTCACTTTTAATTTCTAGGTCCCTTCTGGAGGAATTCAGCAGCTATGGCGCCATGTTTTTATTATATTTCTTCATATAGGTGTGGCAGCTTTTGTTTTGAAAACTGCTTTCAAACCAGAGCTTTGGCTTCCAGTTTGGATTGAGGATCAGTTCTGCAAAACCAAAATGCATGGGAATGAAAACAAAAGACATAAGAACGTCAGCAAATGCAACACTACACTTTCCAGCGATGTTATTCTTTCATGCGTAACCGGTCACGCAACAACAGAGAGGATGTCTACGACTGCCAACACCAGAGGTTATATTCCATCTTCTTGGCCAGGATAAATCACAGACCTATTGATTCTCACCAGCTCATTTCCAGGAATCGGCGTACATCATCACATCTCTCTCTGGGAAGCGGAGAGGTGACCTCATTCTTACGTTCTTCAGGGATCTCTCCTGAGGCTTTCACAACAGCGGGGATGATGAATGTTTACATTGCTATACCTTGAGATCTAGGCCAGGAGGGGTGCACTAAAAATCATGCTGGAGTATGTGAGTGGAAGTGCTGTAAGCTGCATTCTCCACAGTCCGCCCAGAGAATAAGTCAGCAGCTGGCGTTTCGTGCAAAATCCACGAGACTGGGTTTTAATGTAAATCTATTTATTCATGAGAGTGATCCTATAGCGTGGAGATGGATTATCAGAGCTGTGCAAGCACTGTGATAGGCTGACCGCTTCTGTTTTCATCCCCACAGATGGGCCATGGTTACCGTGGCGATTGCAGCACATCGGCAGCATCACAGAGAAGACTGTGCCACACCAGGAACATCTCTACATCTTCACTTCTCTCTAACCTTGTCCGACACAGGGAGAGAAGAATCCCGCCCGTCCAAAAACAGAGAGGGGAGGTCACGGTTTTTTTTTTAAAAGCTGCTTGGTTTTTAAAGTAGAAAGCACAAAAAAAAAAAGGAAAAGACGAGACAAGAATCTATATATGTGACAAAGTGCTCACACACAAACAAATCCAGTGTTGCTCGCTTTTGTTCTCCCTGAGAGATCGCCAGGGTCAGTGCAGCGGGTATAAGCTCCTCTCTCGCCCCAGAATGACAGTCCCATCTGTCAGCCAACCTCCGCGGGACCTTTCGCATGCATATCAGCACAACTGGCCCTCCCTGCAGCAGGAGGCAAGCATCCCGCAGCCTATTGACTATACATGCATTCACATTATACAGTTACTAAAACAGTAACATGGAGAGGATCGTATGAAAGCTTCTTCCAGGTGACAGCTCCTGTTTGACCTCAATAACACATTAATAGTGCATCTAAATCAGTCTGAAACCTAACCTGCAGCAAATGCATCTTTTTGCACGATGCTACAATCAACAAAACTCAGCAGTGGCTCAATAATCACTGTGTTAATTGCAATAAAGTCAAAGAACAGACTGAATACTTCTGAGTGCAAAGTTCATTAACCTACCTGATAAATAAATCCTGTATTGTGGTCCACTGAAAGCATGGTGTGTCTCCTTAAGGATGGGGCAGGACGCCCGCTAACTCCCCTTGCGCTTGCGGCAGTGGTAAGACGAGAGGCTGAGGCTCAGGGCCGGAGCCCCAGTCTGAGCTCAGAGTGTGTGTCTGGGATTGTGTGTGAAGAGTCAGAGAGAATAGCAGATAAAGACAGAGTCAGCTTAGCTGTTCGTCAAACCCTCTCCACTCCTCAGCCGCTCTCCTCAGCCGCTCTTCCCATGCTGGAATATGCCAGCAACCTCATTCCGAGCGCACCGCGAACACAACATAAAAACAAAAAGCAGGGAGCTCAGCACAGCTCCAGCTCTGCCTCAGCCTCTGTCTCTCCCTCTGCCTCCAACGGCTTTCATCCAGGGTTGCATCAAATGTTTCTGACAAGCGTCCATCCGCCAATCCCCCCAGAGAGATTAGCGCTCTGACATCACCGATGCTGTGCCATGCACAGTTCTGCTCTGCTGAGCCTGCAAGCTCTGTGGCTCTGTTACCTAAGACAAGCCTCAGGTCGCAGGGAGTCAAACACCATCCTGTGTGAGGGGCTTCACACAGCCCCCTCTGTGCACCTCACAGCTACATGCACCGTGGTCACTACACACCTCAAGAAGAAGAAGCTAGCAGTGAGCAGGGTTAGTGTTTCAGTGCATCTGCACGTGCATGTGTCTGCACAGCCTACCTGAGGCAGAGGAGCTGCTCTCTGGCTGTGGTGCATTGTCAGCAGAACTGTGATGAAGACATGGTGTGCTCGAAACAGCTATTTCTGCTGCAGAGTGTCACAATTATGCTGCCTTTGCATTTTATGTCAGCTGATATGTCTTTAAGCTATCATTAGCCAAGGTGACACTTATTATTAGAGTACTCACAGGTGAAGATCAGACAGTCAACTCACACTGAACAATACAGAATCTAATTTTCCTCTCTCTCTCCTCATCAAACTATGTCTCTCACATTCTCCATCCCGCTCTCTACCTACCTCCATGCCCTCGTCAACCTCCTCTCCACTGACACTGCTATAATTAACCATGGAAAGGAAAACAGCCGGTCAAGGCTCCTAGCTGCGGTGGAAAAGGCTTCCTGCCTGCACAGTTGGAGCACCGAGTCGGACAGAGATTTCACACTGATCCGAGAACACCATGCTCAAAAGAACAAGCCCGGGCAACTCCGGCGGACTTCCTCCGTCTGTCCTCACTGATCTTCTCCAACCCAGCCAATCACCCAGCTCTAAGTGGACAGCCTGGCAGAGAGCCTGCTGTTATGTCAGGGTTGTAATTAGGACCACGTCAAGTCAAATCCAGAACCAGGGACACTTCAGTTCTAGTTAAGATGCGGTTGACCAACACCGAAAAGTATCTCTGTAACCTTCAATGTACAATGGAATATACAGTTACCACAGAAGACGCTGTGAGGGACAGGGACAAGTCAAACAAGGGGCCAGTCAAAGTTTATTAAAGGTCAAGATTTTACACTTTTGCAGTGTCTCTCTGGAGTGACAACAAGTAGTAAAGAAACAACTTAAAATACTGTTGCCTGTGCATATAAGTCTCAGGACTGATACAAGATTGATATTGTGTGAAATACACTTATTACTTTATATAATATATAGTTATGTAGCTCTCGCCAGGTCAGACTACTTCACCACAATGATGGGAAACATGGAGCCTAACTTTGTCGAGGTTTTCGAATCAGCACCTCCAAAAAATGACCAATTAAAACGTCACATATCGCTTGTTCATCTGCACTAAAGCCAAAGTGTAAAAACCTGCACGCTGACACGCTTTGTAATTAGTGATCTAGAAGTCCTGAAGGGAAAAGATAAAGTTATAGGAAGTGAGAGATTCCCAGTTTGGCCAGTGGCAGACACTTTGTGCTCAGTCTTGTCCTCAGTCTGGCTCACATCCCACAGTTGCATAAGCGATATTTTGTCAGAACAGACGACATGACTGCATCAAATGGCTCTGTTGTCTGCTCACACTCAGACCCTGTGAGCTTTTCAAAGCCATTTGAACCGCTGAAAGCCTTAACTCCACTTAATTCCCATTATCTATTACTATTTATTTAGCGGGTGTGTTGACAGCCTCGTGTGGCTGCTGGATGCATGGTGACAAGTGTGACCATTGTGATCTAAAAATACACGACATCTGCTCAACAAGCTGGCTAATTAAAGATATAAACCAAATACAGCTGTGCAATATTACTGTAGATTATAGATTATAAAAAAAAACATGGATTAACAGATAAATGTAATCAGACATTTGCCATCGGAGCGATCGGGGGGAAACCAGCGTGGTCTCTGCTTCTGTGTCTGTACGTTTTGCTCTTGCTGCAAAGCCAACATTAGCATTAACAGCATACCAGTCAGTGTTTACAATACAGGGCAGACCGGGTGCTACAGGAACTCGGTATCAGGAAGCGATGAGACGGGCCGACCGGGCCGGGGGCTAGCTGGTTAGCATGCTAACTTGAATAGAAGAAGAGAAGTGATAGAAGAGAGGCAGCTGTGGGTGAGTGAAGGTAAGTAAACAGCTGTTAATGCTAGTGTGTTAGCATCAACAAAACTTACAGGTAGCTCCTTTAAAACTAGACCTGCTTTATCATTTAAAAAAAAAGACATAAACTGCAAATGTTGTTTTACTCTGAAATGTAGAAGTAGGAAATAGCACAAGCAAAAAAAAAGTAAGTTAATGTGGTTACTTTCCATCACTGCACTTCTTCAAACTCTTCAGACTTGTGTTACTGTTGTGACAGTCAGTACATTTCTTGTGACCTCCTTTTCATCGTCCTTGCCTTGACCTTTCTTGCTTATTTTTAATACTTTTACCATTGATTTTCTGATTTCATCCTGTGCCCTAAAACTAGTGCATTCGATTGAGTTATCATTGTTATTACTGAGCTGAGCAGATCAATATGACTTTCTTTTATTTTGTTTCTGCAGGCTACATGAAGCTGAATGGGAAATGTACTCACCACGTCTTTATTTTCTTGGGAACTTTGCTCCTGCAAGTGAAAGAACATCAGGAAATGAGTCACCAGGACACAAGGAGAAGGCATGCAGGTGCATTATTGTCAGCACAGTAGCATTTAGGAAACTCAAGTGGCCCCAATGATGCAATGATGCATTCACATACAGTCCTTCCTGTTGTAAATTTCACACACTCTCATGCTTGACCTTGGGATCTTGGTAACCTGGTAGAAGGGGGGGGGGGGTAGTTTTATCTAGCCATGCTGTGTAGTGAGGAGCCCCCTGAGATTCTCACCATAATAACACCTCACATACCCATACACATCCTGGCGAAACCATGACAACGCATTCGCTTGTTGTGCGGGCGGAGGGACGAGGGGGGGGTGGGAGGGAGGGGAGGGTAAGGGATGGGGGGGGGGGGCAGCAATGAGTTACAATGACTGGGAAGTAAGCACACTGCATTGAGACTGCAGAGGAGGCAGAACAGCCATCCCACACCACATCAGCTCTGTCAGGCCTCACTGTACACTGTAAGCTCCGGAAAACTACGTCCTCATGTAACACGGACACAAATAGAACAAACAAGGAGAGTATTGATTTGCCTCCAGAGCGATCGCTGCTTCCAAACAGCGTGAGAGAACAAAGCAATATATTTCATCTCTCTCCTCTGTGGCATTGACAGTGCATCCAAAGCAGCGGACATGTTTTTTTGTTTTTTTTGTTCACAGCACAGTCACACCTGAATGCCAATGAGGTGAGGCTGACCGCAGAAGTTGCTCAGTGTGTGATGCTCCAGACATTATGCTTGTTTGCAACCCGGCCAGCGAGCTCAGACCTGAGTGGACAAATTTGCTCTCTCCATCAAATATGTAATACAACCTGATCGCACACTGGAGAGAGAGAGAGAGAGAGAGAGATGTATGTCTCTGTTCGGGTTGCATCTTTCTATGTCACAGGTGGATGGATGCTGATCATGCACACATCACTTTATCGTGGATGTGTGTTATTACAGTGCAGCCAGGCGATTTACAAAGATGTAATAATTCAGTAACGATGTACAGACAGTGATCTCATTGCATCCAGCTGATGAGGCATATACCTCCCTCTGTCTCCTCACTGTCAGGATCAAACACTTGATGTTCTCATCTCGGTGTCACATCTTGGACCCGCAGTACTGTACACTTAAAGCAACAGCTTGACAGCAGGTTACATAAAGAGAATAAAAACTGGGTCGACTGGTAAAAACCATATGATTTGGCTGAAAGGCAAAATGTTACGGAGCCTTTCTATGCGCGCAGGCAGCAGGGTCTACTACAGCTGCCGTGAAACACTGTTATCAACCTGCACAAATGCCTCCTGTGTGAAGGCGTGGGCGTTCATAGTGAGAGATATTTAATCTTTTGCTCAAATATGAAATGTGCACACGGTGAAAATATGAATATTGTAAATTTATGGTGCGCAACATCCTTGTTTGCAGTGAAATCCGGGCGACACTCAACCTGTAAAGCCGTCAAAATATGGGTCATCTTGAAATACACATTTACCCAACTGAAAATGGACCACACGTTAATGGGACCTCTCATCCTGACCGTCCTTTATTCTAAAGAGAAATTACATACACCGGTGGAACCAGGAGTCCATTCAGGGTTCTCAAGATCCAAAGCACCTGTGTATGAAAGTCAATAGAAACACAGCAAAAGTGTGTGTATTCTCTTACCGTGGGTAAGAGCGGCTCCATTTGAGCTCCTTGATCCGTGATGTCCATCTTTTCTTCTCCTTGGCTTCACAATAGGCAAGTCGTGATGCGCTACCACCGCCTCGGTCAAACGCTGGTTGAAGACGAAGATGGCTTTTAGGGGATTTCTTGTGTTTTGTTTTTTTTTTTCTTCCCCCCCCCTAACTCCTCACATTTAATGGCCGGGTTTTCTCAAATGGAGGTAGCAAAGCATTCCCGTCCTGCCCTACATAATTTACGCATGAAGGAGGGAGGTAGTGCTTCCCATCACACGCGTTCAGCCCTGGACGCGGCGGTGATGAGGCGCACAAGTGAGAGCGGCTGTGCGCAGCCCTTCAGCCATGGACTATTACTGCATTAATATGTATTTATATTAATACAAACTGGCGTATGTGGGTGTGTTTTTAGTCTAAATGAGTGGAGGCTCTCAAATGAAAAAATCTGTGTGGAAAAACAATTATGAATTTAAAGCGATTTGGCGTTTCGTCTATATGGCATTCCCATTACATGTACTCTTTTCTATAGGATCTTTGTGTTATTTCGCCTTCAGGGGTCAGATCCCTGTTGACGGTGGGATCTAAATTGAAGGCAGCAGCAATAACCACACTATAATAATGCTGCAATGCCTTCCTAATGAAGGCAGTGTGTCTTGTTTGGGTTGCCCATGTGGATTTTCTCCACCACTGGCCTGCACCATACTGTTAGAGCATGTTGAAAACGTCATTGCGATCACATTTTATTACTATCTTAAGGCATATATGTGCATTTTATTATATTTTATGAAATTATCTTATATATTTATATTATATCCCAGCTGCATTAATGCCGTCCCGTCATTATTTCTAACCGCAGCAAACGATGGATGATCTGATGCGCCGGTGCTGTCCGGTATCAGCAAGCCAACATTACACAAGGACGCTGCTGCGGTGATGTTTATACACTGGCGCCCTCTTGTGGTCAAAGTCGGGAAACGTCACTCGGATCCAGTTCAATTAGCGTTGCTGCACTGCAAATTGAATTGGTCGGGAGATCATTAGATTTTAATTTAGGCTACTCCTAATGCAATTGTGTTGTCTCAGTTCATGCTCATGCAATATGATATTACATGAATGTGAGTACAACAAAGCAAAACATGAATTGATGTGAGTATATCATTGTAATAAAGTGTAATAAAGCTGAATTAATGCAGCCTTTAATGATCATAAGTGCGGTTTAGTATGATTACCAGTGATACATCATCGTAACAGTATTTTCTCTGAACATCTGAACCAAATCAGCAGATCACAAATCAATCAATCATTATTAATCATCAGATCAGTTACTCACTGAAATCTTTTCATCTGTGTTTTTGTGGTAAACAGCTGTAACAACACGGTTTTAATGCGGATCTGTTTATGTGTCACTGACTTGAGGAAAGTTTGGGGGACCCCCTGGCTCCAGCACCTGAGTGGGGAGAGAAGTCAGGATGGTGTGGTTGATCCGGATCCGGATCCGCCCGGCCTGGCGTCATAGCACCGACAAGATGGCCGAGAGTACGGGACGAAAGTGAGAGAGGAAACAAAAACACTGGCGTGCTATCCTCGCCGCAGATGCCAGATCTGTAGAGCTGTCGAAGACAAGTCAGTGCAAAAATAAAAGCTGGGTGATCGGTGTTTCCAAGCCTCCGTTGTGTGGGTGACATTTGCGGTATGCAGACAAATTGTGCTCCGAGCCAGCTCGCTGACAGAACGTTTGTCAGGTCGTCTGCGTTGGCTAGCTAGCTAGTGAGCTAACCATGTTAGCTAGCTGACAACACCGTTAGTGGAGAGAATACACGTTCAGAAAGTGACAGTTAGGCAATTGTGAAATAAACAGTTGTTTTTACCTCTTCGTTTCCGAGAGCTAAAATTGGTTGCAGCCTGAGCGGGAAATTTGATTTAACGCACTAGTTAGCGCTTAGCCAACTGGTTAGCAAGCTAACATTGCGGATTTCTTGTTTGCAGCTTCAGAGTTAGCATTAGCAGACGTCTGTTAGCTTGCTCAGCTGTTTTGGGTGACTTGGGGTTGTTCCGACACAGGAAAGATACACCGGTGTGTATAGGAAGGATATTTTCCTCTGTATATATAAAAGTAACCGAGACGGTTCCGAGTAGGCCCGGGTTAACGGGTGTCGTGGAGGACCGCTAACATTAACGGTACCACAGCCGGGACTGTAAACATACGTGAAGCCGAGGAGCTCTCAGCCCTGCGTTGTTGGACGAGGCGCAAACCCAGGCAGCGTCACCATGGCCCATTCTCCCGTGCAGGGTAACCTGCCAGGGATGCAGGTAAGCCAGGTGTTTTTTGATTTTGTTCTGCAGGAAGTAGTTGAGGTCACTGGCAGAACAAAATGTACACATCTTGACTCCCAGCTTTGGGTTTGTGGACTGTCTGGACTTATTTCACTCAGTGATTTGGGGCATTTCAGGACTTAAGTAGCACCTCGCAAAATCTGATTTCAAACATTGTGATGCACCAAAGTTTTTCTGCAAATTAATCAAAGGAAATGCATGTAAATTGTGTCATAGTTTATCCGAGGATATATAAATATATATATATATATATTATGAAGCATCCCATTAACATATCAGTAAGTAAATTTACATCTTTGCAAGTGTTCCCTGAATGCAACTTCTTTGCAACAGAAATATACGCATTGAAAGCAAAAATTCCGATTATTTCCTCCATCACTTGAAGGCAGTAGAGCTCTCTTCAAAGAAACTATCCGTGCACACATGAGTCCTGCTCTTGCCTCTGCTTCTATCTTTAGGATTGTGCCTATAGGGGATAATTGTGTTGGGTAGATAACTAGAGGAGATAACTGTTCCTTCTGTAAACTGCTTCAGATTGTAGGTCCCTGTGCAGGCTTGTTAGCAGCTGTATCTGCCTGCTGATTCAGATTTTGGGGGAGAATGCATCAGACAGACACACAGCTGTGACTGCGGCACCTGTACTCCATTTATACTTGATATTAAGTTAAAAGAAGTTATTGCCACCAGTCAGGTGAAGTTTGTTCCCAGCGATTGCTCTTAAAGAGGCAACTGGAATCAAGGTTGTTGCTTGTCATATGACATTTCATATGATTTAATACAGGTCTTACCCCAACAATGTAAGTGGCAGCAGCAGTCAGTATATGTCTGCCTTTACACTGGAGGCTCTTGTTCCAGTTTGAAGTCTTTTCCCCAGACAAAGCATCTTATTGTTTTATTGAAATGTAACTCATTACTGTATCACCTCTATCTGTTCTGAACCACCCTTTCCATTAGCAGCAGCACCATTCGGTTTATGGGATAAATCTCCTTTAAGGCACCGAAAGGCTCTCCCTCGGTCACACAAGGATCCCTTCTTTCGTAAGGCAGCCGATTCATTTTTAGCTGTCTCAAAACGGGCATATTGACCCTTTCCCTGCTCAGAAGAGGTCATAAAAGGAAGTTGTTTTTGTCAGCGCCTGCTCTTGTGTTCCCCACATAACAGCCTCTGGAGAGTTAAGTCATTTTAGTTCACTTCCTGAGGCATTCAAGTAGGTTTTTTTTTTTTTTTCATTCCACACTCAGATATACACGCTACAACGTGCTACGCCAGAAAAGTTGGAAGTATGCCTCAGTTGTCATCGGATTCACTGAACACATTTTCAACTTTTCCTCAGACTTGTAAACACTTGAGGCGTCCGGCTAAGCCTTTCCTTTGTCTGACTGTCCTCACGCAGTTTGAAATCATGCAGAACTACTCGATTTGTCTCTCCTGTCCTCATGGCCTCAAGACGAGTCATAATTATGTCTCAGAGCGCCAACGGTGCTTTTTGGCTGCAAGAATAATATGATGTTAGAGACCTTTCATCACAGCATCTCAGCACAAACGGCCTTATTTACAACTGTAGCCGGAGAATGAATCACAAAATTGGCTCTGATAATATAAATTTGCAGTGAATCTTACATGGAAATGTAAGAAAGGCTCTGAACAGTTAATCATAATTTTATTGAATTTCTAATATCCAAATCACAGGAGCTGCAATTTTCTTTTGATAAAGGTAACCTGTGTCACAATATGTGATTATAATAATAATATATTGTGGTGGTACAGAGATGCCCCCGCTCTGCAAATCCTTTTCTCCAGGCGTGAGGGAACATGCTGCAAAAAGAAATCACACCGTCATCATTTTCTACATTTGTGTCAGTGAAAAAGAAAAATGCAAAAATGACGATTTCCCACTAAAATCATGACTCATGTATGATCCCATGTAGTGTAAAGGTAGATGTCCATGTGTTTGGTTATAGAGCTGGTCTAGGTTTTATATTAATACTGTGAACGCATCAAAGAGAGGCTCAGAGCCTCCTCTCTTCTGATTGGCTCAGTGACCTGTTGTTACTAGAGCTCCAGAGAGAAGCCTGAGAGAGGAGATGTGAAACTACACTGAGATGGTTTAAATATAATCTTCTTATGGATCAACACTTCAAAAATAAAACACAGGAGAAGAAGAAAATATGGAGCTTAAACGCTCAAGTTTCCTATTATATTATTATTATTATTATTATTATTATTATTATTATTATTATTATACATAAGCTTTGCTCTCGCAGCTGCAAAACGTTGAAGCATATAAAAAGGTGGACACATTGCATGATGGGTAGTCTTTGTCATGACAAGGCGTTGATGAAAGCTGTGATGATTGATGTGCTGCAGCCATGACCCCTGTCGCCCGTGGAAGTGTGCTGTTAGCTTCGGCTCATTCAGAGCATTAAGGGTAGACAATATTACTTTTAGCTTCATTATGCAAAGCTTTTAAGTCCTCAGGTAATTTCTTACAAGATTTATTCATACGCACGCAGGTGCAGAGTCCAAAGAGGCCTGCAACAATTCATTGATCAGTCAGTCGGCGGAAATATAATCTGCAACTATTTTAATAATCACTTCCTTTTCTTCTTCTTCTTTTGTCATTTGAACTGCTGCCGTCAGCCTCTCGAACATGAAGATTTCCTGCTTTTATCTGTTTTATATTTTTCCAAAATGAGAGGAGAGTTTTCCTTTTTCTTTTTTTTTTTTAAACAATTAACGGAGAAAATACTAATCACGGAAACGGGATGAAAAAGGTCGACAACCACCAAAGATGCAGCTGTGTGTTTAAAAAGGGGGTAAAATATAATTCAGGCACATGCTTTTTGTTATTTAAATTTTCTCTTAATCTGCATCTTATCCAATTGTTACACTCTTTCCCTTTCATTCTCCTGTGTCTCTCTCTCTGTACAAAAACACAAGGTGTTGCAGTGAGTGAATTAATGTATCCTGTAAGAATGGCCCCCCTGCTGGTGTTTCCTATTTACTCCCCAACATTCAGTTCTTTTCACACATTCCTTTTTCTTTTCTTTTCTTTCTTTTTTTTTTTTTGCTTTAATCCGCCTTCCCTTTCCTCCGTTCTTTGTCCTCCCCTCCCCGTCACCGCCAGAATGCCAAAGTGGACCCGGAGGAGCTGTTCACCAAGCTGGAGCGCATTGGCAAGGGCTCGTTTGGCGAGGTGTTCAAAGGCATCGACAATCGCACCCAGAAGGTAGTGGCCATCAAGATCATAGACCTGGAGGAGGCCGAGGACGAGATCGAGGACATCCAGCAGGAGATCACAGTGCTGAGCCAGTGCGACAGCCCCTTTGTCACCAAGTACTACGGCTCGTACCTGAAGGTGACCCTTTGCTGAACACATGTGCTGTTACAGTGAATATCAAATGCATTAAAGCCTCCTCCTTCATTATTCCTCCCTCAAGGGAAGACACACAAAAAGATTTCTATCCTCCTACCCACTTTGAATAATCCTAAATTAAAAAGGGAATTAGCCTCAGACGACTTCAGACACCCACCAAACCCAAACCGCCGTCATCACAACCTGTTTAGAGACTCAGGCTCTCGACACCTTCGGGTCGCGTCCAGTCCGCCCTGAAGGTTTATTATAACCTCTCATCCTGTACACATGACGATGGCCGTCACCACGGCGACAGAGGAAACTTACACATTTCCCACGTTAATAAACAAGCTGAATATTTCTGAGCCAAGACGCTCGTTAAGTGATCGTCTTCCCCTCGTCAGCGGCGGCTCATTCTCCTCTCCTCTCTTCCAGGACACAAAGTTATGGATCATCATGGAGTATTTAGGCGGCGGCTCGGCGCTAGACTTGGTAAGTGATTCACTGCGCCGCCGTGTTTCTGTTGCACTGAGCTTCTGTATTTTCTGTCTGATCACACACAGACACTCAGTTAAGTATCTGGGTTTCCCCTCAGGAAACTGGTTCGCTGAGGTGTTAAGAACCACCCACCATCGCCATGATCCAATTAGAGAAAGTTCTAGAGACATTCATAACGATGCGCTGCACTACTTTGACTTTAAAACAAAAAAACCTAATAGAAAATTTTATCATGTGAAATACTGACTCAGAAATAATAACAACATTTCCACAAAACATATTTTAACTGGCAGACCACCAGCGGTCGGTTGCAGACCGCTCTTTGAGAAAGGCAGTTTCAAAAGAGAAGATTGGCAATATTCTATATTTTCATTATTATCAACAAAATCCCATTAAAAGACTGAAACAACAGTTTGTCGCTTTTTGGCAAATCAAACAGGAGTTTGTGTCGGGGAGTTTTCAGCAGCAGATGAATCCACATTTGGTGCTCTACTCATTATTTCTGGCAACTACTGTGTGTGTGTGTGTGTGTGTGTGTGTGTGCTCGTGTGTGTGTGTTGGGGGAAATGAAGGAACATGTCACCCAGTGCAACGATCAGTGAGTCACACTGGTGTGTGTTTGATAGTTTGTGGACAGCAGCGGAGCTCTGTGGCAGAGAGGAATAACATCTGAAAGAAAACACAATTTAAAAATCAATTTAGCTCAAAATCAATAACAGACAATGAGATTAGAGACAATGGAGGAAAAAGGGCATCAAGTAATCAAATACCACCATTAAGAAAATAATACAGCAGGATAACACAACATGAAGATGTAGTCACAATCATCCACAGCTTCTGTCTCCCTCTCCTCTCCCGCAGATGGAGCCCGGCGCTCTGGACGAGACCCAGATCGCCACCATCCTGAGAGAGATCCTCAAGGGTCTGGAGTATCTGCACTCCGAGAAGAAAATCCACAGGGACATCAAAGGTATCCGCCTGTTAGAGGAGCGGGGCTGAGCGGCAGCAGTGAGCACACACAAAGAAAGATCACGTAGCACGTTAATGGTATTGATGTCCACTTACAGGTTCATTCATTATGTAGCTTGTGTTTCATTGGGGAGTCTGAGGGGAACGCTGCAGCAGCTTCGCTAAAAGGCTTTTGACAGTTGCTTCCTTGTTTGTTAAATAAATTGGTTGATGCAGATAAACGGCCCTGACGGTGCGTTCAGGGCGTCCTCTGTTGTTGTTGCAGCCTCATGCTACAACAGGTTAAACTCATGTTTTTCTCCTCATGAATCAGAGCGAGTATTCAGACTCTGTGCTGTGACACTTTAAATTTAGCTCAGGTTTCTCACGTTTCTCTGGATCCTCTTCACAACCACCACCCCCCCACCCACACACACACACACCCCACACACACACTCAGCTGCCAATGTGCTGCTGTCCGAGCAAGGAGAGGTGAAGCTGGCAGACTTCGGGGTGGCCGGACAGCTCACCGACACCCAGATCAAACGCAACACCTTCGTGGGCACGCCCTTCTGGATGGCGCCCGAGGTCATCAAACAGTCGGCCTACGACTCCAAGGTGAGGTCCGCTCTCCGCCCTGCGTTACAGTTTCTCATGCTCATCTGCTGATCTGTCAGCGCTGAGCTGCTGCCATGTTCATGAAGGTGTTTAAGGAACTCCAACATTATGAGCAACAAAGCTACAGGAGCATCAGAATTATTAAAGTGTGTAAACCCAGAGATAAGCAAAGCTAGGACGCCTGTGGAGATTGTTGTTTAGCGTATAAATAAATATTGTGTACGTGAAGTTGTCACCGTGTCTCCCTCCTCGTTCCAGGCTGATATCTGGTCTCTCGGCATCACGGCCATCGAGCTGGCGAAAGGCGAGCCGCCGCACTCGGAGCTCCACCCCATGAAGGTTTTATTCCTCATCCCAAAGAACAACCCGCCCACGCTGGAGGGAAACTACAGCAAACCGCTCAAGGAGTTCGTGGAGGCGTGTCTCAACAAAGAGCCCAGTTTTGTAAGTCTTTGTTTGGAGTAACTCCCGACGGTCAAGAGTGTCGCGCGCTCGCTCACTCGTCTCCATCTCCACAGAGGCCGACCGCCAAAGAGCTGCTGAAGCACAAGCTGATCGTCCGCCACGCCAAGAAGACGTCCTACCTGACCGAGCTGGTGGACAAGTACAAGCGGTGGAAGGCAGAGCAGTCGAGAACCACAGAGTCCAGTTCTGACGAGTCTGACTCGTAAGTCTGATGTTGTTGTTGTTGCTTTTCCTTTTTGTTTTCATGCCTCGGCGCCGGCGACATACAAACATTCAACAGGACTGGAGGATGAACTGATTAGATATTGGTGGCTAAAGGTCAAAGGTCAAGGTCACAGTGACCTCACAAAACCAAATTTCACACCAATGGTTCATATTTTCTATGACTCTGGATAAACAGGGACGTAACCTGGAACTAGTCTGCGGGGCGGAGGGATACGACCATGAGGTGATTCTAGTTACTGCTTGTTCTGAATCAAGCTGCTCTTATTAGTCCTATTTAAACACGTGACACAAACATCCCGCTGAGAGAGAGAGAGAAGCGTGTCCTCCCACATTTGTTCATGAGCTTTAAACATTCAAATCCTCTTTAATATCTGTCCAATCAGAGAGCAGGACGGGCAGGCGTCGGGAGGGAACGACTTCGGCAGCGACGACTGGATCTTCACCATCCGAGAGAAAGACCCCAAGAAGCTGCAGAACGGGGAGGGGCAGTCGGGGGCCACAGATCAGGTGAGTTATTACAGAAAGCTTCGTCACACTTGGAGAGATTTTCACTGTTTCATAAGAACTAAGCCGGGAGGAGATGGTGGGACGTTATTGTGCTGATTAAAATAAAAAAATCCCCCTAAGGTGAAGCTGTGCTACTTTAACTTGCTCCCCCCCCTCCCCCCACGTCTCCCTGTTCTGTCTGCAGACAAAAGACATTCCAAAGAGGCCTTATTCACAGAGCCTGGCCACAGTCATCTCTCCTGCGTTAGCTGAGGTAAGGAGCTTCATGCGGCGGCGTCTCCTTCACACTCAGGACTTCTCACTCGATGAGACGATTTATTGGTTGTTTTTAAGGAACCAAAAAGCACCTCAGTGTAGTTTTACAGAGTGGGAGGAGCTCCAGCAGGAACAAGGTGTTTTTTTCTGCCTCTCCTCTGATTGGCTGACCGCAGCTAACAGTTAGCCTGGTAAAAACTCACCAGTAAATAGCAATGGTCAGTGATGAAATGAGCTAAACGGAGACACAGTTCAGTTTCTAAATATGAAAAGATAATGTCTTTAGCACTTCCTCAGTCATCACAAATACAGCATTAATTATTGACGCTGGACTTGCCGGTGGTGTAGGAGGCTGCTGATGAGCGGAGGTTGTATCTTCCTTTGAGATTCATACGTCACTGAACTCTCCTCTGTCCCAGCTGAAGGCGCGGCAGGAGCAGGTGAACGGGAACCCCATGGTCCTGGATGAGCTGAGGGAGGCCATCCTGCTGGCGGAGGAGGCCTACCCCGGCATCTCTGACTCCCTGGTGGCCCACATGGTCCACAGGCTCCAGAGGTAACACAGAACCGGATCCTCCGTCACGTCATCCACGTTTGTTTTTCTCTCACTCACCCGCCCCGCTCTGGTTTTCTCTTTTTTTTTTTTTCGCAGTTTCTCCACGAGCAGGACGTCCTCCTCCTCCCCGTAGTGATTGGCTCTCTGCCCCAGCCCTGCTCTCCCAGGCCCCCCCCCCTCCTCTAACCCCTTACTCCCCCCCCCCACCCCCCACCCCCAGAAAAACACCACAGCCTGGTCAGAGGGTTAAAGTCAGGGGTCAACTCATTCAATACCAGCTGACCATGTTTGACCTCCCACATCATGGGGGGGGGCACGCTAACCTAGCCTGTAAAAAAGACTGAACTCCAAAGCGGAGGAAGACAGAGACACTCTGGAGAGAGAGAGAGAGAGATAGGAGAGGGAGAGAGAGAGGGAGAGAGAGAGGGAGAGAGAGAGAGGGGAAGTTTCAGGGGCAGCAGAACCCGGGAGTCGGCTGCGACGGGACAAGACTCAAAGTCAGAGCCACCCGCCAGAAAAAACAAAACAAAAACACCCACGGTGAAGTCAGACTCTGCGCTCTGTGGACGCTCGGCTTCCTCAGCCTCACAGCATGGAGTCTCTACATGGAGCTGAAATCTACTCTCCCCCCCCCCCCCCCCCCCCCCCAAATCCAAGACAAGACTTCAGTCCCCCTCTTAATGCAGGCGTCATATCCCCAGAACCTCTGAGAGCATGCTTGATGAACCTGCAGGGAAATTATCTTAGTGTGCAAGCTGTGTGTGTGTGTGTGTGCGTGCATGTGTGTGCGTGCATGTGCTTAAATGCACAACGTGTGTATGTGTGTGTGTGTGTGTGTGTGTGTGTGTATGTGACTCCCTGTTTAGGCAAATTGCAGCATTCTTAATGAAACCTCAGGTAAAGTGCTTTAAGTGGACTTTGTCCTCCAAGGCAGTGGGAGGAGGAGGAGGAGGAGGGGAAAGGGGGGAGGGGGTGGGGGTGGGGGGGTCGCCATGCTGTACATGATTTCAAGTTGTCATTGCGGGAAATGAATCACTGTGTACAAAATGGTCATGCGCATTTTGTAGATATTGATGATGTTTAAAAGTAGATATTTAAAGATTTCAAACGTTAACTCCAACAGAACAGAAAATGCCTTGCCTTTTTGAGATACACAAAATCTATGTTCCGGCATTTCATCAGACTTTTTTTAGTTTGTTTCATTTACTCGTCAGTGAGTGAAATTCAGTTCAGTATTCATCAGTGTTTTCTTTAAGTGACTGAGCTCCAATCTTCCATTTCAATCACCTGCTGAAGCGTCAGACTAACTATGATACTAAGCTTACTTTGTTTAGAGGCAGAAGCTTTTCCTTTGTTTTTGTAGTCGGGGGGGGGGGGACGACTCCCCCCTGGACTTATGTTTAGACAATTTAAGTCAGTTTTGAAATTGTTTAGGACAAGAATGAAGGTAGTGGCTCTTAAATAACACAGAGTGGAGCCAAGGACGACTACATGGAGGAACCACTATGGTGCAGTTGAATGCTGATATCATGTGAAGTATTATTTTTCCTCGGCTTGTGATTTACGTTCAGAACTAAAGCGGGGGCGGGAGGGGGGGGGGGTGGGGGGGGGGGCAAGGACCATTGAAGGCAATCGCACCTCGACACTTGCTCATGGCCAAACTAAAGCGTTTATCAGGACAAGCCAAGCTGCAGAAATCAACGCCATCCTTCTTTCCTCACTCCAGACGTGTGTGTGTGTTCGAACTTCCACACCATGCTATAGAAGTGCCATGTCCTCTTTTATGCTTTCACCAGATGTTTGTAGTATGATTTGCACCTTTTTTGTTTTGTTTTGTTTTGTTTTTCTAATTTTCAGATCAGTTTTTTGCACTTTGAAAGTGTGTCGAGTATTTAAAGAAACCTGTAAGAGGAAAAAACACAAAACGAAAAAAGTTGCTAATAGCCATGTTTTACTATATATGTTTACTTAAGAGTTCCAGAATTTACTACTGTGCTAATGCAGCAATAATGTTGAGGAGTTGCATCAAGACGCACTTGTCAACACAGGGATTGAAAGAAATTAAGAAATATCTGATATTTTTATAACTGCAAAGAGTTAAGTATGGAAATATTGAATGCTTTATGGATATGGGCACCTGCCTCCGGCAAAAAATATCTATACCTTACAGAAAAACATATGCTACGGAAATAACTACAAAATGTGTACATTTGGTCTCCTTTATCATAGCTGACAGTTTATAGTACTGTATATAATCTTTGCTTGTGTCATTTGAGAATTCCCAAGTTAAATGTAAGCTCCTTGTAAGCTTTCAAAGTGACATGAGAAATAAAGATCTAATGGTAACTGAGACCTCTGTGTCCTGAACGCCTCACGCGTCTCTTTGTGTTGTTGCGGTGCAGAAGATGAAGGTGTTTGGTTTTATTGTTGTTGTCGTGCGGAGACGCAGGGCTGCTCCCACACCCCCGAGGAGGGGGCTACTTCTAGTTGTGGGGTGTTTCTTTACCTTTATTTATTCCTGTTTTCCCATCCATCCTTCTTCTTTCCAGTCATTTCTTCCTCCTCTCCAGTAGACGCACATTCCCAACCTGTGCTGGGCAACGGCCGACTTGCCCCTCCCAAAAGAAAAAGACAGAGACAGGTAAATAAAGACCTCGTAGATGAATGACTGTATAAAATGAACTGTACAGATCAGTGTGTACGCTCTGACTGGCTGATGCTTCAGGTATCAGCACACAATAAGAAATGTTTGGGGGTCTTTTGTATTCAGAAAAAGAATTTTATTTTGAAATTATGGCATTATATAGGTTTAATGAAACCACTGCTGATGCAGATGTTCACTCACAATATTAAGACAACACCTTTCAATGTGGAATATGATTAATAAGCAGCTTTTGGTGTTCGATTTTACCCTGGAGCATACGACAACATCATGTATATAAAACAGTGACAATATATTACAATACATACAACACTGTGCTTATTAATAAATACAAATGGAATGGTTTCTTTGTACGTGTACTCGAGTACGTTACAAAAGACTTGGAAACAAACATTACATTAAGATGTTGCTACACAGTGCAAAATAAATCATTGTAAAAACAAATTTACAACAGCGAAAGAGCAAATTAATAACCAGTAAAGATCCAGGGGATTTAAAAAAAACAAAAACAAAGGAATATTCTCTCAAGATTTGGCGATAAATGTGTTTGAATTATCCCTGCCAAGATCCTCCATTAACACTGTCCACCAAGAGCTCAACCGTCCAAGTCCTATTTCTGTGCTCTTACAACTTCTGCACCATTTCACTCAGGTCATCATCCGTTCATTCTAACCACCACACGTACAGCGGTGCACCGGGTTGCACCAACACACTGACCACAGGCACGCCGAGGCATGAAACACAGAACCAATCAGCATCCGTAAAAGAGGAGGGAGAAGGGTCGCGTTACATCTTGCACTGTTTGTTCTCCTCCTCGTCAGAGCTGGAGTCGGAGCTCCTCCTCTGCTCGTTGCTGCGCTCCACTGAGTCCTTCCTGGTCATTTCCAAACTCTTCCTCTTCTCCTTCTCCTCGGGCTCCTTCTGGGCAAACTGGGCCTCGATCTTGGTCGGGTCGATGTAGGTATAGAAATAGGCCATGAAGGCAAAGATGAAGCACACTAACACCAGCAGGGAGGCGAAGAGGATGTACTCGGCCCACTAGTGAACACAGACACACACACTGTTAATGTGGGGATAATCTGAAGGGAACAGTTTTTTCACTAAGAAGATTGACACCTCTGATATTTGTCCGTCAAGTATAAAGCCGGAGCCAGGAGATGGTTAGCTTGGTTTAGCTTAGCGTAAAGACTGGAAGCAAGGGGAAACAGCTAGCCTAGCTCTACCAGCACCGCTAAAACTCACTCATTTACACATTATATCTGTAAAAACACCAGCTGCAGTTTCACAGGAAGGATTAGAATATTTTTTTTTATGCCAGTCTAGCTGTTACTCATTTCCAGTCAGGCTAATGTAAGCTAGCTGTGTGCTGGCTCCAGCTTCATATGTAATAAACAGTTCAGAGAGCCGGTTATCAATCTTCTCCTCAAACTTCCAGCAGGAGAGCAGATAAGAGTATTTCCAAACACTCTTTTAATATACAGTTGAAGTTACACCTTTTTAAGTTTTAAGTTAGCATGAGTGTTTGGTGTTTGGTGCTGTGCAGGTTCAGTTTAACACGCAATAATATGATGTCTGTCACATGAAGGAAAACCTTGAGGTATTCTTGCTGATGTCACTGGGTGTCATTGGTTTACAATGAATGAAGAAAGGCCTTGAGAAGAGCTTGAGTCTGGCCTCATTGACGTTATGCTGTTTAAGAATAGCTGCTATTCTGCTATTATAAGCTTTGACCTTAAAAAAAAAAACATGACATAAGTTGAATTTGGCCGAGGTCAGTGAGGACAACACGTCTACTGATGGTTAAATATAATCCACCCACCTGATCTTCAAGTGTTGCGGCCTCAGCGACAATAAGCACAATAATGTTCCCTACGGCAACGGTTAACAGCCAACCAGCCTGCAGCACAGACTTCATGTTGCTAGGTGCCTGGAGAGGAAACAGAGATTCAAACAGAACCACGTATTAGAGAGAATGATGAAAGACATCGAGACACGGCCCCAGGATAGACCCAGAGCACACAGAAGAGACGGCATCTCTCTTTTAGCTGCAGAATGGGAAGTAGGAGCTGGAAAGCGTTGCTGGGGAGACGGCTGTCTGGACTACGTCTGGACTTGTGTTTTCTGTACTTTCCGAGCTGCCCTGGTGATGTCAGATATGTGAGGAAAGCATCGTCTAACCTGGGAGTAGGAGAACTCCAAGCCGGTGACAGAGAAGACCACCTCCCCTGCAGTGATGAGGAAGTACTGAGGGATCTGCCAGGCCATGTGGACGGTGTTGGGGCTGATGTCCATCACTGATCGGATGCTCTCTTCGCACTAACGGGACACAGACAGATACTCAGATGTGCTGCCTCAGTCAAAACAGTTACATTCAAGCTAATATTGTGACTCAAAACATATTCACGACTTACATTTGTTCCAAATTTGAACGTTGGCGGGATGATCAAGGTGTAAGAGCTGCCGAAGCCCAGTTTCTGAGTGTAGACGCACTCATCCACATCGTTTATGATCCGGAACTTAGCTCTGACATAACGAGAAAAACACCAATCAGAGCAAAGAAGTTTCTCTGGTATAACCATATGTGACATATGATATATAATGAAAGTCGAGTCTTACTGTCCCTGTGGTACGTCCACATATTCTGACATCTTGTTGATGAAGATGTTCCCAAAGTCCTCGTTACCCACGGTTACATTCAAAACTGAGTTGTGGCCATTCAGAAATCTGGGGAAGGAGAATTCAGCAAACGACAGGTGAGAAAATAACAGTGTTAAATTGGAGTTATGTCACATTTAAAAACTGAATTCATTGAATGTATGAGCAACACAACACATTAGCTCATTAGCTAATGTTAGCTAATGTTGACATCAGTCAGTTTCCTAACTTTACGACTCGTCTCTGCTGTTACACTGCATTTTAACCATCAGTATCAAGCTACAAGCTGAATACAGACGATAATGACATAATTATTGTGTGCTCAAGAAAAAGCAGAACAAGCTGCAAAAATAATCATTTTGGTTATTTGATACCAAGAAGAGGAAACAGAAAAGTACATGTCCTCTCAGGGCTTCCATACAATTTCCTCCAGACTTGACAACACTGTGAAACTTGCCTGACAGCATTAGCACCCTGTTCCGGCTTTGATTTGATGTCTGTGAACTGAAGTAGAAAGATACTTTAGAGCATGATATAAAGGAAACACCCAGGACAAACGCAATTAAAGTCCATCTGAAATCACATTTAGTCATAACTCATTAACAGAATTAAAGTCAATTTCTCCCTTGTTGGTTCTATGCATGCTGCTGCTGCAGAGAGTCTTGAACCCTATCTGACGGGTGTACTCACCCTCTCAGGCCTGAGTTTGGCTCCATCCTGAATGATGACAATAGTACTCCGATTGCCATCCACTAAACTGGATAAGTAACTGGTACCATTCAGATCCAGTGTAAATATGTCATCAAAGGTAAGGTAACCCTCATTGGCCTGTGAGAGGAAACAATGACTCAACATCAATATGACCTCCAACCTTTACTGTCTATATATATATATATATATATACACACACACATATATATGTATATATGGATCTGGAGAGCAGACTGTACCTCGAACGGCTGCAGGGTGAAGTTGTTGACTCCAGCTTTGACAGAAACCGGCTCTTTTATCATGTTGATGAATTTCCCTTGGGCCTCAGTGTTCGACGGGAACTTGGGCAGGGTTTGCTACAAGAGGAGTGGAACCGTGCGTGTGAATTGTGCTTCATAAGGTGATGTGTGTTTTAAGTCGCTCCAAATGTTTATTTTTTTAATGTCTGTTATTCTTACATCAATCTGTAGCTGGACCAGAGCAGCAGCCACGAACGCAATAGCAGCGAAGAACATGCCAACGGTCATCCTCTTTAACGGACTGTAGAACAAACACACAACGTTGTCAGTTCATGTGTCTCTCAACTATTATATCTTCTGGTTATAATCTGCAATATAAACGCTGTAATAATTAACCGAACTCACGTGAAGTTTAATTTGCACTTGGCAATCAGTGGGTAGATCACACTGTCCATGATCGGCACCAAAACCAGGATCAGGATAGGGTTGACGGTCTGGTGGGAAGAAAGCGAGTCAATCAGCTCATGTCACTAGCAGATAAAAAAAAAACACCACAACAAAGTGAAGTAACGCGTCGTCAACAACAAGCGTCTCACCTGCATCTGGTCGGGCTGGATGATGAGTGCTCCCTGTTGAAGAACAAGAGGAGAGCTTGGATTTTAAAACAGTTTTTTCTGTGGTTTGAGCTCACAGAGTGTGATATAGCAGAAATAAATTCCTTACAAAGTCGCCGTTCATGGTGGTGGCCTGGAGGGTCCATCTCGAGCCCTGTGGAGGAGACACAGCTCTTATTTAGTCTGTCTTTGAAGGCTGACGGCAAACTTCCTGCTATGAATTAAGTGGTTCTTTTGTTTCTATTTAAATTTGCTGGACTGTCTTCCTGTAAAAAGAAAACAAGCCCATAGGTCGTTGCAGCAGGTTATTATGACCCAAAGTTACGTTTTGTTGCTAGGCGGCATTTAGTGGTCGTAGTACTGGTGACAGGGGGGAAGACAGATCTCTAAAACAAGAGCTCCATCGTCTCTATCATCAGAGTGTGTGAGGGAGCGGACTGGCGGTTACCTGCTGGTCAAAGAGAGCCCAGAACATGGGCAGCGGGATGTAGAGGAACAGAACCTTCACCACCATCTTCACCTGGGCGATCAGGAGTTTCTGCACCAAGACAGAGGAAACGATTATGACGCTTATGTCACTGATTTTACCGTTTGTAGTTGCATGCGCTTGACCGTGTGTGTGTGTGTGTGTGTGTGTGTGTGTGTGTGTTGCACTTACATCGTATTTCTCCTCAGCCCAGTCCATCCAGTGTTCCCTCTTGGGGTACTGAGAAGAACGATGCCTGAAGCGGTTCTTGATGGCAAACTGCAGAAAGAGGAAAGAAGAATTTCCTCCGTCTTTAATACATTTTATGAAGTAAAGTGACGCTTTATTTAAAACCTTTTTTAAACCCATCCTGAACACGTGCATCCCTGAGCAGCCACTCACCCCGATGCATTTGCAGACTTTCACCAAGATGTTGCCTTGAGGAGCCGTCTTAATGTACATCCCACTTCCAATGATGAACACAACTGCAGACACACACATCACATATAGATGTATATATGAACATTTGACCGTTCGTCAAAGGAAATAAAGCAGGTAATTATTACAAAATTATTATTATCTATTAAATTATATTGACTATGAATATTTATGATACTTATAAAACAGACTTTATCGAGAGCAATAAAGATTTTAATAAAGGTTTTACTTCTTTTGCAATCTGGAAACCCGCCAGCTGTTCTTACAGCTTATTTCTTATCTTTAAAAAGCATTAATTCATCATTTATTAACCAGCAGTGAGGAGCATTAAGCTGTCATTACACAACTGTCTACACATCACATCCACACCAGGAAGCCTCTTGGCCTCAGGGACCAGTCTCACATCTGGCTAAAGACTTTTATGTTCACCTCTACTTTTAATCTTTTAAGCTGTGACTTTACTTTCTTCTTTTTATGCACATATAGACTTTTATTGATGTGACTAGTTGTTAAAGTGTATTTGCAAACTCACTGATTCTGGATTTGTCAATGAAGGTGAAGGAGTATCTGTCATTTTAATTAATTTATTATTATAATAAATCAAATTAGCATTTTTTTGTATGAGGAAAAACTGGTTCTTACTCAGAGCCACCACCATGAGAGCGGCAGGGACACCAAAGGCCAGCGAGTAGCACTTCTGCTTTGTGTGAATACCACATTCCTGAGCTGGAAACCACACAAAGACACAGTGATTAAATATATGATGTGTGTTTGTGAGTTGCATATTTTCTGCTCTGTGATCCGCTCTTACCTCTGAGGACGGGGGTGATGACAGTGGACAGCAGACTGCCAGCGTTGATGGACAGGTAGAAGATGGAGAAGAAGGTGCTTCTCTGCTTCTCCTGTGACACACAGGAAGTTCAACACAGTTTAGGCAAAAAGCACTGATCGTGGGGGGGTAAGGGGGTGGTGGTGGTGGTGGTGGGGTTCAGATCATCAACTCTTACATAACATGCCATTAACATTAAGAGATAATCTGTCACTGGCCTTGAACAGTGTAATAAAGTGACTGAGACACATGTACCTGCAGCTATTAGTTAATAAACAACTAAGTGTAATGAAGCAGAGATACAAGAAGTGCTGACGAGGTGCTGCTGATATCTGACTGAGGCGTCTGTAACTGCTGTGTGCACATGTGTGTGTGTGCAGGACAGAGACTTGATGCTTCCACCTGCATGAGGTGTGTGCGTGCATTCAGTACTCACCTCCTATATATACATACTAATACAAATAAAAGAAACAGCTTACAACATAATGTGATCCAGTTAAACCATATGAGAAGAAGATGACTAATACTGTCTGTTGTGTGACACATTTCCAGCTGTTCACTGACTGAATGATGCTCCAGGCTCCATGTTGGACTCATTCATTGGAAATGTAACTGTCTCTATTTTCCCTAAAGTAGTTAATAAATTGTCCAGGACATTTTAATTATTAAAGAATGAATCTGAAATTAGAGACTTGTGAAAGTCTATTAGAGAGAGAACTACTGTAGTGGGTTTTATGAAACTGTGAAGGTGTTTTTATGTGTGTGTGCTTGAGCGACATCTCACCTGATGGTCTTGAAACTGGTCTCCGCCAAAGGCAGCCACGCAGGGTTTGATGCCTCCTGTTCCCAGGGCGATCAGGATCAACCCCACCATGGACAGAGATCTGTGAGACAAACGCAGCACAGACACAGTGTCAGTACCTGTAGCTGTTGTGTTCGTGTTGCGTTGTGTCTGAGCGAGCTCAACTCACACGTGGAAGGTCATGTTGTCCGGAGTGCCGTCCTTGTTTGAGTCTGTGATGTCATGGATAGCACTCACAGCCATGACGACCTGTCCCAGTGCATAAACGATGGACAGGTAAACAATGGTCCTGTGCACAGGGAGGAGGAAGAGGAGGGAGAGAAGAGTTAAACAGGTGTACATCAGGTTCAGGTAGGGAGAAGATAGACAAGGGTAAAAAAATCCAACAGCTGATTCTGTGAGATATTCTTTAACCTCTACACCGGTTTTAAGACGAGCACAGCGTATATTTATTACAACACTACATTAACTAAATTACACTTAATGGATTTTAGCAGCTGGATCTGAAACTCACTTGAACTTGCCGAGCCATGAATCAGCCACAATGGCTCCCAGGATGGGCGTCAGGTAGCAGAGAGCCACGAAGGTGTGGTAGATGGTGGTGGCGAAGTCATCGTCCCACTTCAGGAAGTACTTAAAGTACAGCACCAGCACGGCTGAGAGGGAGAGGGAGACTTATTTAATTTTACTCTTCTATTTAATCGACTCTTCCCGTGAATACTAATATTATTTATCTATATTATTTAATGGTTCCATCAATGTATGTGTGTTATGTATACTTTTATATATTGTTGGATATTTTAATCTCTAACAATGAATCATATCATAGAAAGTAACTAAGTAAACTAAGTAACTTGAGTATTTCCATCTTATGATACTTGTACTGCACATTTCAGAGGGAAATAATGCATTTTTTTTTTTTTTTTTTTACAGCTGAAGTTATTTGTTATTTCACAAATTAATATTTTTAAATGAAAAAACATCATAATATTTGCACTTTAAACCAGTGATTTCCAGTGTTTTTGGGCTTGTGGCGTTTTACTTCAGTACAGCATCATGTATTTTATGTGTAAAATATTAATATGCACAGTAACTGCAGCTGACAAATAAATGCAGAGAACCATGAAGTAACATAAAAAGGAAATAGAAGTAAAGCTCAATACCTCAACATATTGATCTAAGTACAGTAGTTGAATAAATCACTGGGTGCAGGTGAGGCAGAAATGAAAGGAAACTTTAAACTGATCAAATCCCCAACAAGCAACTCACCTCGCATGCCATAGTAGGAGAAGCGCTCGCAGAACTCATTGACCACAATGAAAAAGATGCTTATTGGGTAGCCGCAGACTGTAGCCTGCAAGAGGGATGGGTGAAATGTAAGTATATTATATCACTAACAGTTAGGTTATGTACAAGCGCATGTTAATTAAAGGATTTTTACTCTTAAGCCAACCACTGAAGTGAGTTTATTACCATAAAGGCAATTAGGATGTTCATATTTACCGCTCTTAAAAATTCTGTGTTGTCTATCTAAGCAGGAAACAACAGGAAATATTACAGACAGTAGTATAAAAAAGGTTGGACTTACACTCTTATGCTTGGGCTTCCTCATCTCGCCGTTGTCTGCAGAAATAAGTGGTTTTCAATTACAATTCATATGTACTGATTTCCTTTTTTTCTTGTGCACTTACTGTAACCAACTGAACAAATACAGAGATCGCTGAGTAAATAAAGTGTAATGCAAAGAATATTCCTCTAAAACTGGCAGGAAAAGTAAACGTCCCAGTCACATGGTTCCCCTCCAGACTGGAACTCACCTGCCATGGCTGCTGTATGTGCTCCTCCAACTGTATCCTTCAAAAAACAAGAGACAGAGAGACTAGTGACCCCCCGTCCAGATCCAAGACATGAAGACTGAACCGAGGTCTGGTCGGCTTCTTATGTAACCTCCCGTCAAACTTCCTGCAACGCCCACTGATGCTGGACCCACAGTATCTTCTCCAGCACCTCCCAACATGCAAATCTCCATTATTCCAACCTGCCAGCACATCATCACAAGTCTGTGTGTGTGTGTGTGTGTGTGCGTGTGTAATTACTTTACAACTCTGGGAACTCAGTTCTTGCCTTACAGATAAAGAGCACCGGTCTGGTCAGCTGGTAAACGTGAAAACATTCACAGTGTTTTTCTAATTGCTAAGTTTCCTTACTATAAGCCCGTGATTGCTCTTTAACAGGTGTATTTGAAGACTGACTGTTAAGTAACGGCAATAAAATAACAGTTTATGCACAAATAATGTACATGAAGTAGACTAGAATAGACTACTCTGTGTATTAATTAATTAATAATAATAATAATATGATATAATAAGTACATAAAAATAAATAAATAAAAACATATGTGAAAATTTTAAAAATGGAACAATTTCAAATATTAACATATATGTCTAGACCATACAAATATGTATGTACATATGTGTATGCTGGTATTGTAGACATATGTTACATAAATATCAGTATATGTTGATATCATGTACAGTAGGGTCCAAAAGCCTGAGAGCACTTTCCCAGAAAAGGCAGATAGACATGTTTAAAATGAATATATATTATATATATTTGATTTTCCTGCAAAAAAACATGTTCATATGTCGCTTGTCTTTTATAAAACGAAGGACATGCAGGATGTCACAGTAGGGGTAGTGGCTACAGCATGATATAAAACATATAAAGAGGTGAATGTTACTATCATCAGTATCAATCGTGAATTCTTGTATATTTCACCAAAAAAAAACAAACAAACACACACCATGAAACACGAGCAGAACTCACAGATACATGATGTTTAGCAGCCCGACTCTCTGACACAATGACAGTCCAACAGGACACAACGTGTGTGTGTGTGTGTGTGTGTGTGTGTGTGTGTGTGGGGGTTCCGTCAGTGATATGAGGTGGGATTAGCTGGTCTTTTACATTACAGCGAGCACAGTGGAGGTTTTACTGGAGTCAGCATCCCGATGTCTCTCCTGTTTCTCTGCAGTGAGCGTGCAGGTCACTGTCATCCCCAGCTACAGCACAGAGCTCCATTCACCCAGACACTGACCTACACGTTTACTCATAGCGAGAGAGAGAGAGAGACATTTGCTCATATACAAGTTAATGATTATAATTAATTACAGTTCATGTTAGCAGAGAACCTAAAAAACATTATGATATATTTTACAGTTTTAGCAAAATACGTCATTACATCCTTAGCAATATAATATCAATATGATATAGTTATGGATATGTTAACACCCTTAAATTACTGTTATATGGCGATAATACATCATCAAACAATGCTAGCTAAATAATTAAAAATGTCTGCAGTTAGCTCGCTAACTATGATTGTGATGCAGCAGTATTAAGTATATGTTTGTTTAACATTGTCTGTATTAACAGCTTTGTGAAAATATAAAAATACTTTGGTAACTGAAAAGTCTGATGTTCAGTATCTTTAATTGTTCTCAGCTAAGCTAGTTAGCCACACAATGCTAGATGTACGACGTACGTCAACTCTGGAAGCTAATATTCCATAAGCGGCAGATGGTAGAAGTGATAATGCTAAACAAGGTTATACAGAAAGAGAAATTACCTGAGGGAAATGACTTTCTCAATAGCTGTAAACTGTGATGAAATGTAATTGTTGTAACACTGTCAGACCTAAAAGTCATGCTTCTGTTCCTTGATAATAATAATTGAACAGAGGGGAGAAAAACTTAACAGTGAACATTTCAAATCAAGGCACGGAAGAAGGTATTATTACAGATTTTCATATATTTATAGGTCTTAAACATATTTACATGAGCAGTCATTAAGTAAAAATGTTTGTTTTTATCTCACAGATAATAAAAGGCATCTACATGACAGACAAAGAAACAAAGGGGTAGATTACAAATGGTCACACCCTCATCTTGCATTGCACAGTCGTCTTTCTAATGTCTTTGGCAAGAGTGGTTTCCTGTGCAGTAGGTAGCCTTGGTAACAATAGAAAATATTGCACACACTTTTTTTTTCTCTTTACAGAAAATAGGTTAAAACATTGCGGTCCACTTGGCTTTAGACAGTTTTCATACACGTCTATTGGCCTAAAATAGAGTGAATAATTCTTTCAAATGTTCCCGGTGAGAGAAAAGATAAACTCTGCACAGATAAATGCCTCTGCTGTAACTGGGGGGCTCGATGGGAAGGAACAGAAGAAAAAAAATGTAAAAATACTGAAGAATGTGATAAAGTTACAGCAGAGGCATTTATCTTAAATAAAAACTTTCTTTAAACAAACACTCTCTTAAACAAAATGGAGCCCTACAGTTAAAAATAGATACGGTTCAGACTTGGGTCAAATGCAAATGAAGTTCATGTTCGTTTTCAACCTATAGACAACATCTCTTGGGGCGGGGTCTAACACACCAGAACAGTGAACATAAGGTTGTCAGTCACGGGACTAGATACACGTCTTACATGGGATCAAACCAAACCTTCTGTATGGCTTAAACCTGGTTCCATCGTCTCCATAGGAAACAAGAACAACGGGCCAACAGGAAGTGAACATCACATGATCTGTGTCGAGGAGCAACAGGAGAAAATATACCAGTGGCTTTTACAGGTGTCCTAATTGATTCCTCTTGACTGGCAGGTAGTTTGATCAAACATCCGAGGCGAGGAAGGCGCGAGGCTGATGTGAAGCATCCTCATCAGAGTGAACCACTGGTTGGTGTGCCACTGATGGCGTTGAAGATGCCCATCGAGTCAGACAGCGTGCTCCTCGTACCATCCTCCACTGGGTTTATCTACAAAGATTAGCAGGGATATTTACTTATAAATAACTATATAAAAATATACTAAAATCTTTTTTTAAAAGATTGTAGAGTCTTAAAAAGAGGATCTAAAGTATATGTGAATAACGCCAGGCATGAATTTAGTTTTGTGTAAAATGAAATATATGATTCCTCCATTCCTCTATAGACACAACAATAACTTCAAATGATAAAAGCAGCGTTACCATCCGATCTGCTCAGGCCAGCACAAAGAAAGCAGGAGACAAGAGACGTGGTTAGTGAACGTGCACAAGATCGCAGCGCTGCATAGCATAGCTTTTTAAGGGTAGATCAATAAGCAATGTAACATGAAACAATGAAGAATGTGCAGCTTTAAATATTACCACATGCACATCTGCACAAGGCAACAGGGTAAATATGCAAATAAAATACATATAAATACAACAAAACAATGGGAGAGCACATAACTTTCCCTTCTTTATATAAATCATCTGTTTGGAAACTTATTGCTGCAGCAGAATGACAACCTGAGAAAATTCACATCAGACCTGGTTTCAGTACTTCCTGGATTCGTCTCACTGGACAGTTAAAACACCTTTCCGCAGCTGTGTAAAGTGAAGAGACCGTCGAGTCTGAGGAGTTCCTACCTGTTCGTGCATGATGGTGGACAGCTCCCTGGTCAGGTCCTTGTAGTTGGCCTTCATCTCATCGTGATACTCCTGCTGGTCCTCCTTAATCAGCCGCTCGTTCACCCCCAGCGCCTGACCGCAGGCGTCCACGAACTGCCTGAGGAGAGATCCACAAGCATTTTTAGTGCCACTTAGAAACGCAGCAGAGAACAGTAAAAGGTGGAAGGACAGATTTCCACAGGCTGTAAGCAGTGGAATAATTCATCTGGTTATTATCGTTTTCAATTTCTGTTTAGTTTTAATTCGTTTTTAAAGCAGCTTTGATCGTTTAGTTTAGTTTTTATTTTTTGAAAATGCTTTGTTTTAGTTTAGTTTTTATTCGTTTACATGTTAGTTTGTTTTTTTTTTGTACCATGGGGTCAGAAAAAGTATTGTGTAAATAAAAACTCAACAAAACATCAAACCATTTTAAAAATGTTTTCACTAAGATCAGCCTCTCAACGACCTGCACACACCAGCGACAGCATGTATGTAACGGTAAGACTCTGTCACAGACAAGGAGACAATGCAGAGAAGGAAGAGAAGCTGTGGTTTTACATGTGCAGGTGATTCTGACGTCAGTCAGTCAGTCAGTACCTGAAAACCTCTTTGAGCTGTTTGACCTTGTTGTCTGGATATTTCTTGGCACTGCTGTCGTCGAGGAAGGCTCTGGCGTAAGCGAGAGGACCAGCATTCACCTGGAAAACAGCGGAGGTCAAAGATCAGACATGACATTGAAGTAATTCATGACAGGTAAGATGATTTAACGAAGGCTACGTCCATCTTTATTTACCTGAACACTGATACTGCCTTGCAGTTTGAGCTGCAGCCGGATCATGTCCACCTCCGAGGCCGAGCACAGCAGTCGCAGCTCGGCCACCTTGGAGCTCATCTCGTCTATGGCCACCTCGATGGGGCTCAGGTCGGTCTGGTGTTGGTACATGACCGCGATGCGCTTCTTCACGTAAGGGAAACAGTGGGTGGCTGGACAGAAATAGGATTGAGGGAGAGAAGGTACTGAGACACAGAGACATGTAAACACCTCATATATATATACATATATATATAAACATATATATATCAACCACTGTGCATGTAAACAGTCACTGAGCGAGTGGGTCTACAGCCAAGTCACAATCAGT